TACCATACATACCATACATACCATACAAGCCATACATACCATACATACCATACACACCATATAAACCATGCATACCATACATACCATGCATAGCATACAAGCCATACATGCCATACATGCCATACTTTACATACTACACACCCATTGCATCCATTACATCCACAACATCCATTACATACATTCCATACATTACATACAGTACATACACTACATACAGTACATGCACTACGTACACTACATACAGTACATACATTACATACATTACACACATTACATACCATTGCAAACAGTACATACCATTACATACATACATGCCATTACTTACATACATACCATTACTTGCATACTTACCACTACTTACATGCAAACCATTACTTACATACAGACCATTACCTACATACAGACCATTACTTGCATACAGACCATTACTTACATACAGACCATTACTTACGTACATACCATTACTTACATACATACCATTACTTACATACAGACCACTGCTTCCATACCAACCATTACTTCCATACCATTACTTGCATTCCATTACTTGCATACCATGACTTGCATAACAGTACTTGCATACCATTGCTTGCAAAACACTACTTGCATGCCATGACTTTCATCCATTACTTACAATACAATACAAAACAATACAACACAATACAATACAAGACAAGAAAACACAACACAATACAATACATTACATTACAATACAATACATTTCATTACAATACTTAGGTTACATTACAGTACAACACAACACAATACAATACAACAGCATACAACACAATACCATACAATACAATGCCATACAAGACAACATCATACATACACAGCATTACATTACAAAAAAATATATATATATATATACAACAGTACACACCATCGCATAACAGGACATAACATTACATAACATCACAAAGCATTACGATACATTACATTACATTACTTAACATTACATAACAGCATACCAGTAGTACCCGCACGAGGCGGCGCGGCAGTTGCCTTAGGGATATGCTATAAAACCTTTGTCATCTGTAGAACTTGGTGCGCCAGCCAGGCCCGTGCGTGCGTGCTTTGTGCGAAGCTGTTGCAAGGTTGCGGTCAAAGAACATGACCTGCACACGACCCCGGCGGCGCTCCGATGAAATGAAATAGGTAAGTAGAATTTTAAGTAGAACTTAGCTGACACATGCGAAGAGATGAAATGAGATGAAAAGAGCTCAGATGAGGTGAGAAGAGCTCAGATGAGATGAGATGAGATGAAGGGTGGAATGTGAAGTGCAAGTGTGAAGTGTGAAGTGCGGGGTGTGAAGATTGCAGTGTGCAGTGTGAAGAAAGTTCTTGCTTGGCGTTGCATTGTCTTTCTCATCTCACCGAAGCTAGTCTCAACTCATCGCGTCTCTTCTATGCATTTACACAGAAAGATGTTTACAAAATTCTTTGTAGTACAAAGCTTGCACAAAGTACTTCCCAGTATTACTTTGCACTACAAAGCTTGTGCAAAACACATCCCAATACTACTTTGCACTACAAAGCTTGCGCCCAATACTACTCTGTACTTCAAAGCTTGCACCCAGTAGTACTTTGTACTTCAAAGCTTGCACGAAGCTCTTCCCAGTACTACTTGGTTCTACAAAGCTTGCAGAAAGCACTTCCCAGTACTACTTTGTACTACAAAGCACGTCCTCTGTAGCTCTTTCACATAGAAGCTTTGACAATCCAAAACCGGATTTGAGGCCAGCCCCCAAAAAAAACACGATTTTGAAGCATTTTTAAACAGGAATTTAAAAAGGAAAATCGCCAGCGCCAAAATTGAAAAAATCTGCTCACAAATCACTATCGCAGCCTTGGTGCAGCCATTCCAATACGATTTACAATGCCCCGCTGCACAAGACAATAGTATTACGCACGCAGCCGTGGCAACAAGCAACCTTGACCCAGCCATTACATTGCGATCTCCAGGTATTGCATTGCAAAACGCAATGGAACTACGCGCAACGGCGCCAGAAATTGCAGCTCCAAAACCGGATCTCGGCGCCAAAGCGAAAAAAGGACGATTTTGAAGCACTTTTGAAAAGGACGTTTAAAAGGAAAATCGCTGGCGGCAAAATTAAGTAAATCTGCTGGCAAATCACTATCGCATCCTTGGTGCGCAAGCAACCTTGACGCAATCATGACATTGCGATCTGCAATCACAGATGCAACAAGCGCATATAGAGGAATACGCACACATGAACAATACACATTGCAGAACAAAGAGGAGGAACTGATTCAACGATGAAACGATCGCAGCCGCAACCACCGCACACACAAGGTATACCCTTCATCGCCGCCTGCTGCCACTTCACACCGAAAAACCAACGGTCTCGTGCTCCAGCTTCCTCCCCAAAACAAACCCCATGCAACATTCATGCAGCCATTACAATGCGTTTTGCAGCATTGCGTGGCAAACATGAATCTCTCTACGCACATGGCAGCAGAACGTGACACCAATCATGCACCACAGATGCAACAAGCGCCTAGAAGTACGCACACATGAACAACCACAGGTTCCAGAACACCTAGGGAGAACCGATCTGACGATGACACGAGCGCAGCCGCACCCACCGCACACACGAGGTACCTTACATCGCCGGCCGAAGCCACTTTAAACAAAAAACGCACGGTTTCGTGCTCTGGCTTCCTCCCTAAAGCAAAGCCCATGCAACATTGATGCTGCCATTACAATGCGTTTTGCAGCATCCCGTGGCAAACCTGCACCTATCTACGCAAATGGCAACAAAACGTGTGACGCCAACCATGCAGCCATCACAGTGCGATCTGCAGCCACAGATGCAACAAGCACATAGAACAGTCACCATCCTTCGCCAGCACCCTGCGTCATCACTTCCCTCAGTCATGCAGCCATGACACTGCGATCTGCAATCACTTCCCTTAGTCACCACTTCCCTCAATCATCCATCCTTCGTCATCACCCTTCGTCATCACTTCCCTCCGTCATCACCCTTCGTCATCACGTCCCTCCGTCACCACCCTTGGTTCCTTACTTTCACCACCCTTTGTTCCCTACTTTTGTTTGATACATTGTTACGTTATATTTTGTTATGTGATGTATTGTTATGTGATGTTTTGTTATGTGATGTATTGTTATGTGATGTATTGTCACCACTTCACCACCCTTCGTCAAATGTATTGTTGTGTGATGTATTGTAATGCGATGTATTGTTATGTGATGTATTGTTGTGTGACACATTGTTTTGTGATGTATTGTTATGTGATGTATTTTCACCACTTCACCACCCTTTGTCAGATGTATTGTTGCCTGATTTATTGGGATGTGATGTAGAGTCAATTGCAAAAAAGTCATCTGTAGCTCGGAAGATTGCTTCCCACCTTCCTTTGATAACAAAACATCGCATAACATGACACTACATTACATTGCACAACATTACAAAAACACATTACATAACAACACATTACATGCATACATAGCATACATACATAAGATACATGAATAACATACATACATAACAACACATAACATATCATAACATAACATAACATAACTTAACTTAACTACATACATACATGCATACATACATACATACATACATACATAACATACATAACATACATAGCATACATAACATACATAACATACATAACATACATAACATACATGCAGCAATACATTACATACATTACATACATTACATACATTACATACATTACATACATTACATACATTACATACAATACATACATTACATACATTACATACATTACATACATTACATACATTACATACATTACATTCATTACATTCATTACATTCATTACATTACATTACATTACATTACATTACGTTACATTACATTACATGCATGCATAATATAACAAAACAAAAATCCCATAACAAAGAAAATCATTGCATAATATTGCAAAACATACGAGACAAAACGTAACATAACTTAACAAAACATACAAAACATAACATTACAAAACAAAACAAAAGATTTAACATACAAAAACAAAACATACATAACATACATAATATAACAAAAATGACATAATTTATTATCAAAAAACATAAATTACATTACATGACGTGACATGACAATACATGAAATTACATTACATTACATTGCATTACATTGCATTACATTACATTACACTACGTTACAGTACATTGCATACATGCAAAACATTACATACATACATACATTACATACATGCAGCAATGCATTACATACATTACATAGCTTTCAGTACATTACATTCCATTACACTACATTGCTTACATTACATTACAGTACATTGCATTACATTACATTACATTACAATACATTACAATACATTACATCACATACATGACATGGCATGACATGACACCACATGACATGACATATTTATATGTCAATGCTTACATATGTATACGTGATTTTACATATGTATATAAGTGGCGGATAGAATTGCCTACTCGCAAAGGACATGGCCAAAGTGGGTGTTCCCCTATCGGTTGTGAAGGTTCGCACACAGATTTGAACATCCCAAGTCCACTCCCTGCTTCTTTAGTCTTGCACTAATTTTGTCGGTTAGTCATATAGATATGGATATTATTTGTGTAGCTATGTACATATATATATATAATATACGTATATGTATTTATTTTGACATATAGAATATATAATGTATTTTAATATCATATCAGAAATAGTATTGCTTTGATGTGTTCATCATGATCCTGGTTTGCCCGGACGCTCGTTGGGAGTCCGGGCAAACCTCATTGCCTTGCCGCATTCCCCATTGGTGTTATCATAATTTATCATTATCGTTGTTATTAAAGCTTATTCTGATTATTCAATATCATTATTTGTTATTGTTGCTGCTGTTGTTTCCATTATTACAGCTATGATTACTTATTTATTACTATAGGTACAAGTACATGCTTCGTCTTTGCATCCTCTCCCAGAAACTCTTCTCCCACTCTTCGCGGCCTTGCGACTTCGCCTGAGTTCAAGGAACTCAAAAGCGGAAAGCACTATCTATCTTTAGTCCCTCAACTATCTCAACAACCGAGGTTGAAACTCAAGAAACATTTTTCAAAAAAACACATAAAATACATTAACATACTAACTTACAAAATCTTGAAACATCAGCCTCGCATTTCAAACCAAGAGTCTGGGCAGCGACATCGCGGTCCCGAGGGGATAGGGATTGTTTGTGGAACGGATCGGACAGGTGGGAGTGCTCCCGCATCATTTGACATGCATCACGGAGCACATGCGATTTGTCCCTCCTCTCCAGCTTGAGACTTTCAGCCTGGCCCGGAGCAATGAACTAGCAGCGGAATCCGAGATATCGGCATGCTAACAACATCCAAGACAAGTGTGTTGCTCAAACGATTTCCTACATGTTCCTTGCAGATACATAAGATCACGCAGCCTCTGAATGATTAGTTCCTTTCGTGGCTCCTCTGACAAAAATGGCTTGTAGTAGGATGGGACATGTTTTGGTGTCAACTATTGCAATCAAATCCATCCAGCCCACCCGCCCACCCCGCAGCTTTTTCGATAGTGGTGGGTCCTTCAAGGTGGGGCCCCCAAGCTAGAACTTATCTTAAAACGTTCACAAGTTAACTTATAAGCAGGGTTAACATAGGTCAAAAGTTTGATAATTCATGTTGAAATAGTAACTAAGATGTGGACTTACCAGTAGTACCCGCAAGAGGCGGGGCGGAAGTTGCCTTAAAGATATATATAGGACCTTTCTCATCTATAGAACTTGCATGCGCCGTGCGCCAGCCAAGCCCGTGCGTGTGTGCACTCTGCGAAAGTGGCGTCCTGTTTCACATGTCACATTTGAAGCTCCACTTCGCCCCTTCACACTTCCCACTGCACTCTTCACACTCCACACTCCACTCTTCACACTCCACACTTCACACTGCACTCTTCGCACTCCACACTTCAAACTCCACACTTCACACTTCTCACTGCTTTCTTCACACTCCACACTTCACACTTCACACTTCACACTGCACTCTTCACGCCCCACACTTCACATTGCACTCTTCACACTCCACACTTCATCTCATCTGAGCTCTTCTCACCTTATCCCAGCTCATCTCTTCTCATCTCATCATCTCTTCTCATATGTCATCTAAGCTTTCATGAATCACTTCCCAGTACTATACTACTAAGGAACTTGCATGCGCCGTGCGCCAGCCAGGCCTGTGCGTGCGTGCTTTGTGCGAAGCTGTTGCAGTGTTGCTGTCCAAGAACATGACCTGCGCGCGACCCCGGTGCAATGCAAACACTTGCCTCACACTTCACATTGAACTCTTCACACCCCACAGTCCACACTTCACACTTGCACTTCATCTCAACTCATCTCATCAATGCCTTTTTTTGCTTGGCATCGCACAGGAACTGGTTCATATTTGCATCAAACACCATTGAAGCTACAAGTCTTTACTTCAGAATCAAGCAGAACTCAGAACCCAGCGCGATGCAGACCATGCACCTTTTTCATCTGACTCTGAATCCTTGGCAACAATCATGCCTTGATCACACGGCCCGCACTGGCACGCGTGCCATCGCAGTGAGCGTCCTGTACGCGCCAGCATCAGCGATGCAACAGCAGATCGTCTTTGTCCAGACAACGTAGTACCTTAAAAATAAGTCTGGAGTTACCTGGAGCCCATTCACTGGGCCTTTTCTTCGCAATCAAGTTCCACCACAAGAACATATGCAAGATTCGAATTCCCAGCGCGGTGAGTGTCACGCACAGCTGTGCTCTGATTTTCCCGGCTATATGCATTTCGCAGCTCCTGATGCAAGGCTTCATCGCAAGATGGGCATATAGATAAGGAGGAAGCAATGGCAAGAGGTTCCAAGACAGGTCTGTCGTGTCCACAAGCGATGCATCGGTGATTGTCCACCGCCTGTGCCACTGCAAGTGATGGCAACGAGCATCGAACTCGTTCATGGTTTCGACGTCAATGATAGGTGGGATCGCGGGCAAGATTCTCTTGCAAAAGTCTCGGTGTCTCAGGTACCGCTGATCCAGCTGGAAAAGACAATAGTATGACGCGTGCAGCCACGGCACCAAGCAACCTTGACGCAACCATTACAATGCGACCTGCAGAGACTGAGATGCAAAAAACAATAGAACTACGCGCAGCGGCATCGGCAATTGCAGCTCCAAAACCGGATCTCGACGCCAAAGCGAAAAAAAGACGATTTCGAAGTACTTTTTTAAAAAAATTAAAGGAAAATCACTCGCGCCAAACGAAATGAAGAAAATCTGCTGACAAATCACTGTCACGGCCTTGATGCGCCCACTCCAACACTATTTACGAGATCCAGCTGCAACATTCATGCAGCTATTACAATGCGTCTTGCAGCATCACGTGGCTAACCCGCATGTCTCTAGGCACATGGCAACAGAGCATGACAACTATCATGCAGCCATTCCAATGCAATCTGCAGCCAGAGATTCAAGAACCGAATAGAACTACGCACACAGACGCAACCACCCGTTGCAGAACACATCAGAGGAGGAACAAATTCGCGCATGAAACGACCGCAGCCGCAACCGCCGCACAGACGAGGTACCTTTCATCGCCGGCCGAAGCCACTTTACACGGAAAAAACACAAGGTTTCGTGCTCCGACTTCCTCCCCAAAACAAAGCCCATGCAACATTCATGCAGCCATTACAATGCGTTTTCCAGCATCCCGTGGCAAACCTGCACCTATCTACGCACGTGGCAACATCAGATGACGACAATCAAGCAGCCATTCCAATGCAATCTGCAACCAGAGATTCAAGAACCGCATAGAACTACGCAGACAGACACAACCACTCGTTGCAGAACACAGAGGAGGAACAAATTCGCGCATGAAACGACCGCAGCCGCAACCGCCGCACAGACGAGGTACTTTTCATCGCCGGCTGCCGCCACTTTACACGGAAAAACACAAGGTTTCGTGCTCCGGCTTCTTCCCCAAAACAAAGCCCATGCAACATTCATGCAGCCATTACAATGCGTTTTGCAGCATCCCGTGGCAAACCTGCACCTATCTACGCACGTGGCAACATCAGATGACGACAATCAAGCAGCCATTCCAATGCAATCTGCAACCAGAGATTCAAGAACCACATAGAACTACGCACACAGACACAACCACTCGTTGCAGAACACAGAGGAGGAACAAATTCGCGCATGAAACGACCGCAGCCGCAACCGCCGCACAGACGAGGAACCTTTCATCGCCGGCTGCAGCCACTTTACACGGAAGAACACAAGGTTTCGTGCCCCGGCTTCCTCCCCAAAACAAAGCCCATGCAACATTCATGCAGCCATTACAATGCGTTTTCCAGCATCCCGTGGCAAACCTGCACCTATCTACGCACGTGGCAACATCAGATGACGACAATCAAGCAGCCATTCCAATGCAATCTGCAACCAGAGATTCAAGAACCGCAAAGAACTATTACAATGCGTCTTGCGGCATCACGTGTCTAACCCGCATGTCTCTATGCACATGGCAACAGAGCATGACAACTATCATGCAGCCATTCCAATGCAATCTGCAACCAGAGATTCAAGAACCGCATAGAACTACGCACACAGACACAACCACTCGTTGCAGAACACAGAGGAGGAACAAATTCGCGCATGAAACGACCGCAGCCGCAACCGCCGCACAGACGAGGTACTTTTCATCGCCGGCTGCAGACAATTTACACGGAAAAACACAAGGTTTCGTGCTCCGGCTTCCTCCCCAAAACAAAGCCCATGCAACATTCATGCAGCCATTACAATGCGTTTTGCAGCATCCCGTGGCAAACCTGCACCTATCTACGCACGTGGCAACATCAGATGACGACAATCAAGCAGCCATTCCAATGCAATCTGCAACCAGAGATTCAAGAACCACATAGAACTACGCACACAGACACAACCACTCGTTGCAGAACACAGAGGAGGAACAAATTCGCGCATGAAACGACCGCAGCCGCAACCGCCGCACAGACGAGGTACCTTTCATCGCCGGCTGCAGCCACTTTACACGGAAAAACACCAGGTTTCGTGCTCCGGCTTCCTCCCCCAAACAAAGCCCATGCATCATTCATGCAGCCATTACAATGCGTTTTGCAGCATCCCGTGGCAAACCTGCACCTATCTCCGCACGTGGCAACATCAGATGACGACAATCAAGCAGCCATTCCAATGCAATCTGCAACCAGAGATTCAAGAACCGCATAGAACTACGCACACAGACACAACCACTCGTTGCAGAACACAGAGGAGGAACAAATTCGCGCATGAAACGACCGCAGCCGCAACCGCCGCACAGACAAGGTACCTTTCATCGCCGGCTGCAGCCACTTTCACGGAAAAACACAAGGTTTCGTGCTCCGGCTTCCTCCCCAAAACAAACCTGCACCTATCTACGCACGTGGCAACATCAGATGACGACAATCAAGCAGCCATTCCAATGCAATCTGCAACCAGTTCAAGAACCGCATAGAACTACGCACACAGACACAACCACTCGTTGCAGAACACAGAGGAGGAACAAATTCGCGCATGAAACGACCGCAGCCGCAACCGCCGCACAGACGAGGTACTTTTCATCGCCGGCTGCAGCCACTTTACATGGAAAAACAAAAGGTTTCGTGCTCCGGCTTCCGCTCCAAAACAAAGCCCGTGCGTCATTTTCATGCATCCTCACCACTTCCCTTCGTCATCACTTCCCAAAGCCACCACTTCTCCTCATCACCACTTCCCTTCGTCACATCCCCACTTCCCTTCGTCACCACTTCCCTTCATCACCACTTCCCATCGTCACCACTTCCCATCGTCACCACCTCCCATCGTCCCCACCTCCCTTCCTCACCAGTCCCCTTCATCACCACTTCCCTCCGTCACCACTTCCCTTCATCACCACTTCACATCGTCACCGCTTCCCATCGTCACCACCTCCCATCGTCCCCACATCCGTTCCTCACCACTCCCCTTCATCACCACTTCCCTCCGTCACCACTTCCCTTCCTCATCACTTCCCATCGTCACCACTTCCCTTCCTCACCAACTTCCCGTCATCACCACTTCCCTTCCTCACCACTTCCCGTCATCACCACTTCCCTCCCTCACCACTTCCCATCGTCACCAGCTTCCTTTGATTATGTATTGTTAGATCGCGCACCACCCTTCATCATAGTCAATTCCAGAGCTTCTTATTCTTTTGTGATGTGCATTGTTAGATCACGCACCACCCTTCATCATAGTCAATTCCATCGCTTCTTATTCTT